TAACAAAATTTTGATCGAATTTACCAAGTAAATTTTGTGTAATCTTCATTCAAAGTTTAGGCGCCTATAAAAAAGAAGCTGCGACCAATTTTTTTTTTTAATTTTAATGAATATTTCTCTACAACCAGCTATTCAAATTCGATTGATTTTTTTTTTTTATTTTATGAATTCACGGGATTAAAATAAAAAAATTTTCATCGAATTTCGATAGTTGGTTGTAGAGAAATATTCATTAACATTAAAAAAAATTTGGTCGTAGCTTCTTTTATAGGCGTCTAAACTTTGAATGAAGATTACTTGACCAAGTTCGATCAATTTTTTTTTAGTTTAATTCTATAAACTTATTGAATCAAAATAAAAAATCATGATTGAATTTGAACAAGTAAGTGTTGAGCAATATTCGTTCAAAGTTTGGTGCCTATAAAAAAGAAGTTGTGATCAATTTTTTTTTTTAATTTTAATCAACAACCGGCTATTCAAATTCAAAATTTTGTTTTTTATTTTGATTCTATGAATTCACAGGATCAAAATAAAAAAAATTTCATCGAATTTCGATAGTCACTAAACCAAATTCGATGAAGTTTTTTTTATTTTAATTCTACGACAGTATAGAGTTAAAATAAAAAATTTTTGCCGAATTTGATAAAGCAGTTATTGAGAAATCATCGCTAGAAGTTTTACTTTCGAATTTATTCCTTTTTAGGATAAAATCCGAAATCATGTGTAACCCGACAAATTGTCCGGCTACCATTTTTTCATGGCGACGCTAGGGTCGTTGGTCGTTCCCCTCCTCCCCCCCTCAGGAGGGGAGGGGGGTAATGTAAAACAGAGGATCTGGTCTGGCCTAAATGTCGCAGATCATAATGAAATGAAATTTGGGGTTTCTATTGTTTACTATTAATTATACCCCTAAAGCTGACCCCTAACCCTAAAAAAAGCTAAAAAAAAATGCAACCCAAAATTTTGTATTTCTCGGTGGCTTGTCTATTTACTTTATACAGAATTTCATTTTAATCTGTCACAATAAATAAAAAAAAATAATTCTTTTTTGGAAATGATAAACAGCAAAAAAAAAAATATTAGAGTGGGTTGAAAGTACGTAACAACCAATAATTTGCAATCCAGTATATGAAGGACCGGAGTTATTAGACAGTTCAAACTATCTCTACACTACACAGAGCTTAATAAAATCGCAAATATTTTACTATATGATGGTATTAAATTTTATTTTATTTTTTTTTTTGGTAACTATGGAAGAAGCTAAATATAAAGCATTCGAATATTTTCAAAAGTTTGCTGATATGGGTGATTCCGAAGAGACACTTTACGTTGGTAGATGTTATCATGAAGGAATTGGAGTTGAAAAAGATGAATATAAAGCCTATGAATATTTTAAAAAATCTGCTGATATGGGTAATTCTTATGGAGCATTTAACGTTGGTAATTGTTATTATGAAGGAATCGGTGTTGAAAAAGATGAATATAAAGCGTATGAATATTATCAAAAATCTGCTGATATGGGTAATGCTTATGGAATATATACTGTTGGAAATTGTTATAATGAAGGAATTGGAATTGAAAAAGATGAGAAAAAATCGTTCTATTATTATCAGAAATCTGCTGATTTGGATTGTGTTGAAGGAACATTTTGTGTTGGTTATTGTTACGAAAACGGAATTGGAATTGAAAAAGATGAGAAAAAAGCGTTCTATTATTACAAAAAATCCGCTGATATGGGTGATGTCGATGGAATATTTGATGTTGCTAATTGTTATTATAACGGAATTGGCGCCGAAAAGGATGAACGTAAAGCATTTGAATATTATCAAAAATCTGCTGATATGGGTTACGCCAGTGGAATAAATAACGTTGGTAATTGTTATGAAAAAGGAATTGGAGTCGGAAAGGACGAACATAAAGCATTCGAATATTATAAAAAAGCTGCTGATATGGGTAATGTCAATGGAACATTATGTGTTGGGGATTGTTATTATAACGGAACTGGCGTCGAAAAGGATGAACGTAAAGCATTCGGATATTATCAAAAATCTGCTGATTTGGGTGATGCCGAGGGAATATTAATGGTTGGTAATTGTTATCGTGAAGGAGCCGGTGTTGAAAAAGATGAACATAAGGCATTTGAATATTATCAAAAATCTGCTAACCTGGGTTACATCAAAGGAATAAATAATGTTGGTCATTGTTATGTAAAAGGAACCGGAGTCGAAAAAGACGAACATAAAGCATTCGAATATTATCAAAAATCTGCTGATATGGGTAATGCAAATGGAACATTTAGTCTTGGTCATTGTTATGAAGAAGGAATCGGAATTGAAAAAGATGAGAAAAAAGCATTCTATTATTATCAGAAGTCTGCTAATATGTATAATGCTAGAGGTACCTATAATGTTGGATATTGTTATATCAATGGAATTGGAGTTGAAAAGGATAAATACAAAGGATTCGAATATTATCAAAAATCTGCTGATATGAATTTGGCTAGAGGAATACTTGTCGTTGCTGCCTGTTATCAAACTGGATTAGGAGTTGAAAAGGATGAACATAAGGCGTTTATTCATTTTCAAAAATCGGCTGAGATGGGTGAAGCTGATGGAATATGTGCACTCGGTGATTGTTATAGAGATGGAATTGGCGTTGAAAAGGATGAACATAAAGCATTTGCTTATTATAGAAAATCCGCCGATATTGGTAGTGCTTTTGGAATGATTGGAGTTGGTAACTGTTATAGTGAAGGAATTGGAGTTGAAAAAGATGTACATAAAGCATTTGAATATTATCAAAAGTCTGCTAATATGGGTATACCTGAAGGAAAATATTACGCTGGTCATTGTTATCAAAGAGGAATCGGAGTCGAAAAGGATGAACGTAAAGCGTTCGAATATTATCAAAAAGCTGCTGATATGAATGAAGTTATGGGGATACTTAGTATTGGTATCTGTTACCGAGATGGAATTGGAATAGAAAAAGATGAACATAAGTCATTTGAATATTTTCAGAAGTGTAACGATATGAATTTTGCTGCTGGGGCACTTAGTATTGGTCTTTGTTATTTATATGGAACTGGTGTAGAAAAGGATGAAAATAAAGCATTTACCCAATTTCAAAGATCTTCTGACATGGGTAATAGTGATGCAATGAATTTACTTGGCTATTGTTATCGAAACGGAATCGGAACCCAGATAGATATACAAAAAGCCAATTATTGGTTCCTAGAAGAAAGAAAAAAATTTCACGAAATAATCAAATCCCTATATGAAAATCTTAACATTGATAATTTTGTTAAAAAAATGTTAAATACTAAGAAATATCAATTGGTTTGGGTTTCTTATGATCAATTCACAGATATTAAAAAAATTGGACAAGGTGGTTTTGCCACTGTATATAGTGCAAGATTGATAAGGAAAAGAAATCTTTTTCACAAAGGACTTGATACAACTCTCGATATTATGCGTTATTTTGCGCTCAAGCAATTTCAACGAGAATATTTGAACGAGGTAATATATACTTTTACTTTATATTTTTTTCTTAATATAAATTTTTTTAAACAACATAACTTTTTAAAGTTGGCAGCATATTGCGAGGTTGGATATAACAATCCATCATTTTTAAAATGTTATGGTATATCAAAAGATGACAAAACTGGAGAATATATTTTGGTATTAAATTACGCCGACGAAGGCTCTTTGCGTCAAAACCTTCATTATATAGTATTTATTGATTGGAAACGTAAATTGAACTTATTGTACTGTATAGCTTCAGATCTTATGTCAATTCATTCTCAAGGGATCATACATCGAGATCTTCATAGCGGTAATATATTGCAGGATAATTTACATAGCGCATATATTGCGGATTTAGGGCTTTCTATATCATCCATCAAAGAACATGAAAATGAGATTTACGGTGTCTTGCCATATATAGCTCCAGAAGTTTTGGTTAAAAAATCGTATACGCTAGCTTCTGATATTTATAGTTTTGGAATCATTATGACTGAAATATCAGCCGGACAGCCAGCTTTTGATGGAATTCCGTATGACAACAACCTTCTATTAAAGATTATTCTTAATAATTTACGGCCTGAATTTGCTTATGGAACTCCTGATTGTTACATCAAATTGGCAAGACAATGCATGGATCCTGATCCACAAAAAAGACCTACCGCCATAAATATTCAGAGCAGGCTTAAAGAATTGATTAAGATTTTAGATGAATCAGACGAAAACGATGTCAAAAAACAATTTTCTGATGCAGACGAAATAGTAAGTATGGTTAGACGATGCATCAATTCTGACCTGCAAAAACGACTTATAGATATTCAGAACCAGCTTAAAGAATTGATCATAAACCTGTTATACAAATCAGACGAAAACGATAATGAAAAGCAACTCTCGGATGCCGGCGAAACAGCAGAATTGCTAATAAATAAATTTCAGAGCATCCCACTGGAACATCCGCATGACAAGTTCTTAAGCAGGCGCATCCCACTGGAACATCCGCATGACAAGTTCTTAAGCAGGCGCATAGACACTGAATCAGTGTTTCATATCTGATGTTCTCAATATTCTCAAGAACATTCAAAAACAATTGAGAACATACTTTAAGACATGTTCTCTTTTGAGAACAATTCAAAACATAAAACTCCTAAATTTCCCAATTTTAGTACTTTTCTACAAATAAATCTAATTATTTGGCCTAGAGCTAAAATTTTCACATTTTTAATACCGTATCTAGTAATGCACAAGAATGAGCTATAGATTTGATCAAATAATATTGAGAAATTGAGATTTTTTTTTTACTACTATCATAACAAAGCATAATATGCAAAACAGCTTCTATGCTATAAAACATCTACATTCATTTATAAGTTATAAAATTTACTTGAACGTTCTAAAAACCGAAAATGACCATGTTGATATTGAGAAATCTTCGCGAAACTAGATGTAAAATGAAATGAGGTCATTTTTAGCCAATCATAGGTTATTAAATTCCCATTTCCTGATTATACATGATGTGTGATGCGGAAAATTTGACAGCCACACAAATTTGAAAAGCATTATAATATGTCTCATTCAAAAACCTAATCACTCCCATTTTCACCGTCGGAATTTGATAATGTTTTACTGTTGGGTAATTTTAGCACAGATTTTCCCTGTCACAACATACGTATACATAGTCTTGTGCATTTTGGCTGTCCCAACCTTTTTAGTTTTGTTCGGGAGCGTTCATCAATTTCTCAATGTTTAGCTTAAAAGCTATAGAAAAAATAATACTAATAATCATTATAAAATAGATGCATAATTATAATTTAATTGTTTTTCTATTTATGGACCCAGAATTAGGAGTCTTAATAAATCTTGAGTTATTGATAAACTTTTTTAATGCATCAATTTTGTTTCGAGTTTGTTCTAACTTTGTTCCAACTGCCCTGTGTATAACATTGAGCTATCACAGTGGGACCATGAAAGATCGTCGCAGATGCACCAATCAGATCTTTTTTAACAATTGACACTCTATGAAACCACCTTCTGCGCACTAACAAAAAAATTCCCCGTAAAATTTTAGTATAAGATATGCCATAATTTCAGTCACACCCACAAACCTAACGTAGGTTTTTATTACTTTAAAAATTCGATTGTTTAATTAGTGCAGATCATCTGATTGGTGCATCTTTCATGGTCTCACTGGGGTAGCTATAACACTGCGTACGGATATATAGCAAGGTGTGACAATATATAATGATTACGATAAATATTTATTTCTAAACATTTAGTTATATAAACATGTTATTTCGACATAAGTTTTAATTTAAAAGTACTATGGATAAAAAGACTGAGTTTGAGTTATATTTGAAATCTGCTGAGGGGGCAATTCGAATGGGCAAGATAACCTTGGATGGTGTTATCAAAACGGTATCGGCACAGATAAGGATGAAAAAAAGGCATTTGAAATCTGCTGAAGGGGGCAATTCGAATCGACTAGATAACCTTGGATGGTGTTATCAAAACGGTATCGGCACAGATAGGGATGAAAAAAAGGCATTTGAGTGGTATTTGAAATCTGCTGAAGGTGGCAATTCGAATGGACAATATAACTTTGGATCGTGTTATCAAAATGGCATCGGCACAGATAAGGATGAAAAAAAGGCATTTGAGTGGTATTTGAAATCTGCTGAAGGTGGCAATGCGAATGGACAATTTAATGTTGGAGTCTGCTACTACAATGGTTTAGGCACAGATAAGGATGAAAAAAAGGCGTTTGAATGGATGAAGAAATCTGCTGAAGATGGTGATTCCACTGCACAATATAATCTTGCGTTGTACTATGAAAACGGCATAGGCACAGCCAAGGATGAAACTAAAGCATTTGAGTGGTATTTAAGATCCGCCGAAAATGGTTTTTACAGTGGACAATATAAAGTTGGATTATGTTATCGAAATGGCTATGGAACATCGCCTAATCAGAAAAAGGCTATTGAATGGCTACAAAAAGCGAAAAATACCAATTTTCAAAAAGTAGCCGATTCTGAAAATCCTGATTATTCTCTAAAAAAATTATTATCAAACAACAATTTATCAATATCATGGATTCCATTTAATGAACTAGAGTTCATAGAGAAAATTGGAAAGGGTGGATTTGCAACTGTGTAT